AGCACATCGTGGGCAGCCCCTTTAAGGCCAAAGTCACAGGTGAGTACGCTGGGAGGTGCCTGCCACCCAAGCCGGATGGCTCACGCCTAGGTCTCCATCTGCCACGAATATCACTGTCGGGGTCCCAGGAGTAAGATGGGCCTGGCTTCACACAGTGCACCTAGAGCCCAGGGCCTGGGCTTTGGAGCCGGCTGTCTCCACCAGAGAAGGGAGCATGGGGCCCCAAGTAATGTCAGTTCCAGCTGAGGGCCCACGACCCAGGGAGCAGGGCGGGCCTCTGGCCTCACTCATGGGCACCCCACTCGCCCTCAGGTCCTCGGCTGTCTGGAGGCCACAGCCTGCACGAAACATCCACGGTTCTGGTGGAGACTGTGACCAAGTCGTCTTCTAGCCGGGGCTCCAGCTACAGCTCCATCCCCAAGTTCTCCTCAGATGCCAGCAAGGTGGTGACACGGGGCCCCGGCCTGTCCCAGGCCTTTGTGGGCCAGAAGAACTCCTTCACGGTGGACTGCAGCAAAGCAGGCAGGCCGAAGAGGGGGCGGGCTCCCGGGGTGTTGGGTGTGTGTGTGGGTGTGTGTGCAGGCGGGAGGGGCAGGCCCAGGGGTGAGTCTGCCCCTCACTGCCTCCCTCTCCAGGCACCAACATGATGATGGTGGGCGTGCACGGGCCCAAGACCCCCTGTGAGGAGGTGTACGTGAAGCACATGGGGAACCGGGTCTACAACGTCACCTACACCGTCAAGGAGAAAGGGGACTACATCCTCATCGTCAAGTGGGGCGACGAGAGTGTCCCCGGTAGCCCTTTCAAAGTCAATGTGCCTTGAACCCCAGAAGTGCCTCCCCCAGCCTCGGCCCCCACCTCTGGCCAGACACAGACTCACATCCCCCGAAGTGTCACACCCAGATGCCCACGCACAGGGTCAGACACCACGCACACCTGCCTTGGAGTATGACGCGGACGGCGTGTGTCCACCCAGCTGTGTCCTGGGGTGGAGGGCCCTGTCTCCGGCCACTGCCCTCTCCTCCAGTGTGTCATGAAGGCACGCTGGGGGACGGGCTGGAGGCCAGGGAAACCGAGTTTTCTGGTGGGGCTCAGGCCAGTGGGGGAGCATGCGTTTGGGGGTGTCTGCATGTGTGACAGGTCTCTCTCAAACCATGCTGCCGGCCAACCTCCTCGCCGTGAGGACTGTGTCTGGCCCCTCCGGTGGCCACAAGGACTTGGAAAAGCACAGAGAAGAAAGCAGATCCAGACCCAGTGGCAGCTTTGGCGTTGGCCTGGCCCTGGCCGATACCCCCAGCCAGGCTTCCTGGAGAACTGATTTTTCTTTCTTTTTTTATGGTTGCACAGCTCTGCCCCATGGGCGCCTTTTTTACACACTGCGAGGCCCAGCTTTCTGGGGGGACTTTTGCACATGTCATGCGGCTCAGCTGGGAGCTGCTTAGGTGGAAAACTCCAAATAAAGTGCGGCCTGTCGCAGAGGCTGGGCTGGTCCTCGTGTGTGTGTTTTCTGGTCCACTGACACCCTAACAGGGCCCAGGGAGGCGGAGGCCTGGCTGTCCCCTGGAGGGCTGACGCAGGCTGAGGGGAAGGGGCTTGAGCAGAGGGCTGCCCTCCGGGCCATCTATTTGGCAAGGTCTGGGATGCCTGAAAGAACCCAGGACAGGGGTCTCAGATTCCTGGAGAGCTGGTGGGGCTGGAGAAGGTGGTGGACACTGTTCCAGAGAACTGACCTCAAGTGATTTCCATTGAACTTGTTCTCAAGGATGCTCTCCAAATTAGGGCTTTCTCACAGTGAGCTGACTCAAACAGAAGGGCCGCTCACCCAGCAGGCAGCAGAACCACATCCAAAAGAGGAATTTCTACCCCAGCCAGGCCTTGGGTCAATCTGAGTCATTAACTGCCCTCCTTCAGCCCTGACCTTGCTCGGGGTCTCCCTCCGGAATTGTGCCAGCCTCTTAGCAAATCTCCCTGGGCCACCAACTTCTTCACTAGTCCTCTGGGCCCACAGCTTAATTCATCCCCCTGTCCCGGCCTGCTCCTCTGCTGGGCCCTCCACTGCAGCCCGAGGGGATTACATCAAGGCCTCCTCGGTGGCTCCCTCCTGCTCCAGGCTAATGTCTACTCTTCCTAATAAGGCCTCCAGGTCCAGACGCTGCCTCCTCACCATTCCTGCAAGAAGGTTCCGAGATGGGAAATGTGCCATTCCCCATCCCACCCTCTGCACAGATTCTAGTTCTGCTGGCACCTGTGCTGTTTGGGTCTCTGCCTGGAAGCACCCTTTCCTCCCCACCTCCCCATCTTCCTGGCCAACAAGAAACTTTGCTGGGCCTTGCCCCCACCCCACTACTGCTCTGTTGTGCAACCATCCCAGGCTGAGTAGTTCGTTACTGATACAGACAGAGAATTGTGGAGACTTTAGTATCTCTAACATACCTTTAATGCTGAATCAGGGGACCAGACCTGCAGGCAGGGAGCCAGCAACTGAGCTTCCCGGCCCCTGAAATCTTCTCTCTCTCTCTCCAGCTTCTCTCTGGCTTCCCTCTCCCTGCGCTTTCTCAATCGCTTGCTTTTTGGCCCAGGTGTTTGTATTTGTATGTGCGCACACCCCATCTCACCAGTTTCTTGGCCTGGATGCACGCGCCCGGTGCTCACGTGGATAATGAAACCTGCAGGAAAACAAAGCTGCTGCAGGTGGCGGCTGTAGAGACCAAAGTGGGGGGGGGGGGGGGGCGGGCGCGGAAAAGAGCCTGAGTGACTCCATTCTCCTTACACACTCCCCATCGGCACTCCAGCTCCCATATCAGGGCACATCTCTGGCTACATTTACCATCCTGATCAGTGGCAAGCACCTAGTGCCGCCCCCAGCAGACCGAGCCCTTGAGCCTGGGAAGTCTAACAGGTGGATGAATGAAGCAATAAGCAACTGAGCAGCCAGCACAGGGCAAAGCAGCACCTCAGAGACCCCTCCTCAACTCTGTACACATTCTCGGACATTGCAGGACCTGCTGATGGACTGGCCAGAGGAGACGCAGGCTCCAAACCCCTCTCTCCGCCCCTAGACTGAGTGAAGACTCAGTGGCCTGTCTGGCCCCTCCCTCTCCTTTAAGTTTCTTTCACTCCTGGCTCTGAACCCTGCCCCAGGTCAAGTCCCCACCAGGGCCTCTTTTCACTCTCTACCCCATGTCTTTCACCTTCCTCTCACACTTTGCAAGGAGTTGCTTGAGGACTGAGCTCAGGTGCAGACCACGGCCACAGTGAATAAGCACTGGGAATGAAGGAGTGAAAACAGTGGCACTGGCCCATCTCCATACTTTACCTGACAATCCCAGTGAAGGAAGGATCATTCTCCAAAGTAACTCATGGCCACCTAGGGTCAGTCTGTGCCAGGCGCTGAGTCAAGGGCTTCCTGACAGCAGCAGACGGCCTGGCCCTCACCCACAGGTGTGAGCACTTTCCTAGATTGTTTACTGGACTCCCCAGCTGTAGCTACCCTCCACCGGTGGGCTGATGAGTCAATAGCTGTTCAGTCAGTTGCTCTCCCCCAACTACAGTATGGCCCTGGGTGCTCGGCACTGACAGGCTCTATTTCACATAATCCTAGCAGCGCTATGAAGTGGACACAGTATTATCTGAAGACACCAAGGCCCTGAGAATGTTAATGAGTCTACAAATCACACCTCCAAGTAGCAGGACAATAATCAAGCCACTTGCGCCCAAATCCTGAGTATATTATATACACACGCTTCAGACTATCTGAATGGTTCAAGCACTGGAGCTCACAAACTGCATGCCAGACAACAGCAGTGCCTACCTGTTAAAAAGGAGGATAATTGTGGGCCCCCCCTGGTGGCGCAATGGGTTGAAGCACAGCACTATGACACTATCCCAGCTACTGCAGCATGAATTCAATCCCCAGCCAAGGAGGGTGACCCACATGGCACCGCAGACCTCCCCTGCCCACCTGCTGCTCCCCTCAGCAGTGTACTTTGTTGATCTGCCTGTTCTGTTCCCTACTCTGTCTCTGGTGAATCTTCTGATGTCCCTGCACTTCTGGCCTGTACCCCAGTTCTGTATGCATAAATAAATAAATAATCAAATCTTTTTTAAAAAATAAATTAAAAAATAAAAATAAAAAGGTGGGGGAGGAAGGAGTGGGCTTTCCCCTTTCAACCTGCAAATTTCTGAGTTCATCGTCATTCATCTGCTTCACATACACTCTACTTTCTCCTCAAACACATCCAGTCCAAAACGCAGTCTTGCCTATTCTGTCTCCATCTCTTAAAATTCCATCTACTTCTCCACATTCCCCATTGTCATGACCCACCTGAGTGCTGGCCACCATCAACTTTTAGCACAGTGGTCTCCGATATGGCCTCTCCAAGTTGGAGCTTGTCTCTGCACATAGGACCATGGCAGCGCTACGTCTAAAATATATATCTAGCGATATCAACCCCTGGCTTAAAAACCTTCAGTGGTTTCAGGGTAATTTCCAACTCTTCTTGGAGGCATTTAAGCTCCGTCACCAAGCCGTTGTGCGTGTTTCCCTCTTGCCTTCTTTGAGCATTCCACGATTCCCTGGGTGAGCTACCCCTGGTGTGTGCTTCACGCTTCTCACATTTTAGCAATTATCACGTTGCTTGGCCTCCTACGGCTGATACTGCCACGCGACAGCTATCTTCAACTTGTTCACTCTTTAACTGAACGAATATATAGTACTTGTAAATTACGTGCCATACTTACAGACACATACACACGCACACGCCCACAGACCACGACCGTACCGATTCATCCTCTCTCTCCGGTCTCAGCATCCACAAGAAGTGCACTACACAGGTTTATTGCGTCAACGTTCCGATGACGTGCCTTGCGCGTCCGAGGTGCCGCGCGGACTTCTGGGAATCGTAGTCTCCGGGTTCGGCTCAGCCTTTACGGCGCAGGCGTACTCAGATGAAGCCGCTTTGCTACTAACTGCGCATGTCCCGGGAGGCGGAGTGGTGGAACTGCGCATGTCTCAAGGGCTGGGGGTGCGGCAGATAGCTGTCCACTGCGGAGGTGGGGTTTCGGTGGTTTCAGGTGGACTGGGCTGAGCTCTGGCCGCGAGTATGGCGGGTAGGGGGAAACTCATTGCGGTGATCGGAGACGAGGACACGGTGACTGGCTTCCTGCTCGGCGGCATAGGGGAGCTGAACAAGAACCGCCACCCTAATTTCCTGGTGGTGGAGAAGGATACCACCATCAACGAGATCGAAGACACTTTCCGGTACGGTAGCCTGGGAGGCCTGGAAGGGGACCTGCATGGGCGGAGGTGGAGGCGGAGGCGGACCTTCGCGCGGGCACCGGGCAGGCTAGGTCTGCGATGGGTTGCTGGATCCCGATCTCCGGGGGCTGGAAAGTTCGTACCCCCGCCCTTCCAAGGCAGAGGCCGCTAAGCTCCAAGTTCCCTTTTGGGGCTCAATGGAGCAGAACTGTGTCGGGTCCACAAGCTTCCCCACATGACTCTGTGTCAGGAAGGAAAGGGAATAGGGCTTGTGACTGGCACCACCCCAGGACCTTACTTGCTCCCTCATAGCGGGACTCCCGCAGAGGACAGGTCTCAGCTCTGCTTCAGGGGTTCTGGCTCTTCACCCTGTACAGCCGGCTTCCAGCATTGCAGGCCCTAGTACGAGTTTACCCCTAAAGAAGTCACGCATTCAGTGAACATCTGGGCAGTGGACTCTAGCTTCTTTGCGTTTTCATCAGAGGTTCAACAGCCTCCAGTGAGGTGGGGCTCTTATTCCACTACAGGGAAAACAGATTAAAGCACATTCCAGAGTCACACAGAAGAGGCATTTGAATCCAATTCCAACCCTTTCTGCTTTCTTAAGGCAGGTTCACATTCTGGATGTGCAGCTCCCCCTCAATCTGCCTTGAATTTCCCATTGTTCCTCAAGACAGTGGGCACACCACCTTCTGTTAAGACCTTGCACTTCAGTTCCTCAATTCCTGCCCTGGAAAGTTTGAGTGCAGGCATGACCCTTAATCCAGGAAGGGTCCTGGTGGCTTGAATGGAGTGTGCCTGCTCCCTCCTCTTTCCCTCTCCCCTTCTCTAGGGCCTCTGCACCAAGACTCAGGAATAAGCCAGTCTCTGCTGTTTTTCCCTAAACAGCCCAGCCCCAAGCTACTGGCTGAGACTGGTTCCTACTGCCTGGGGTAGGAGAGGCCTGATCTGGGAGGCTGATCTCTAAGCAGATTGATAAAGTGATGCAAGTTGTGAGGGCAGAAGGACACAAATGTTGTGACCAGTCAGAAGGGCCCTCAGAGGTCATCAAGTCTGATCTAGCTCAGTGCCTACACAGAGCAGGTGCTCAGTGTGTGTGGTGTGTGTCTGTGTGGAGAGAGAGAAGAATATACAATATGAATATTTTAATGAGCCAGTGTGTGGGTGATTACAAGTAAAGGATCTCAGTGCCAGGTTTTCCCTATGCAAAAAAATGTGCTTTGTCCACTTCCCCTATTGTTTTCTTGCCTCTTGCCAGCCTTCCCCTCTTAATCCATCCCTGTCTAATCAGCACGGGCCATGGAGCCTTCGTGGTCTCATTCCTCTTTTACTTTTAATACTGAATTTCTCCTTGAAAGGTTCTGTTCATGTGTTAACAGAACCTCACTACCTCCGTCCCTGTAAGTAACGTTTGCTTTTTTAAAACATGCAGAGGGCCTACAAATATATTTGTGTGTATGTATATAGAATATATAGAGTATATTCTCTTCTCCTCTCCCTTTCTTAGCCCAGGGCAGCCTACAGAATACAGTGACATGCACTTGAATCTTCACTGCCAGGTCACTGGGGGTCCTCCTCAGGGGAGATGGAAGTCAGCCCTGACAGCCGTGGCCTTTAGCTTTTGAATGAAATTCATTCTGGATGGAGCAGAGAGAGTTTAGCATAGCAACGTTTTCCCTTGTCCCCCGGGCTTTCTGGGTCACACCTGTTCATTTTTGCAGCTCAGTGCACCAACTCAGGGTGAGCCGCCTTGGACACCCGCTTTTTTCTCCCAACAGGCAGTTTCTGCACCGGGACGACATCGGCATCATCCTTATTAACCAGTACATCGCGGAGATGGTGCGGCACGCGCTGGACGCGCACCAGCGCTCCATCCCAGCGGTGCTGGAGATCCCCTCCAAGGAGCACCCTTACGATGCTGCCAAGGACTCCATCCTGCGCCGGGCCAGGGGCATGTTCACCACCGAAGACCTGCGCTAGAGGGCTCCCCACGCCCCGGGCCCCCCCGTGGTCAGGCTTCTCCCGGGCTGCCCATCTGCCCTGCTCAAAGTTTTGAGCCTGTTTCCCAAGTCCACACCCCTTCCCACTGCACTGAGGCGCCAGGCAAGGTACTTCTAGGTTGCAGAGGCGCCGCCATTAAAACCTAGGCTGGCTGGGAAGCAGGAAGACTGTCTTCTCTCTCCACTACCTCTCCCTTGTGCTGTTATGCAGTGTCGTTGTTGGTGTTAAATTAAAGTAATATTCTTGCTTCTGTCCAAACCGGGGTTGGGTGCTAGAAAGGCCACCTGTGGGATGGGGCTCCTGGCGGGGAGGTGATTGGCAGGATTGGAAAAGGTTCTGCCAGAAGACACACAAGAGGTGGACCGGGGAGATGGTGCCGGAACCCAGTGTCAAGGACTGGCCTGAATCTTTGAGACTTGGAATGAGGAGGCTGGAGCCGGGCTCTTGGTGCCCCCATTTCAGTCTCTGTTGGGCTGGGAGGGCACGTGACCCACGGGACAGAAGCAGAAAGCACAGGAAACCAGGAAGCTTGAGGTTCGAGGCCGAGCCTGGGTCCTGGAAGAGGTTTGGGGATCAAGGCTCTTAACCAATGGGCCCCCGCTTGAGGCCGCCTCAGAAAGCAGGTATGTGAGGTCTGCTGTGGCCTGGCGGGTAGAACCCTGGCCCTGTGTGAGGTGAGGCCTGGTTGCCGGGTGACTCCCCAGGCAGTCACCTGCTGGCAGAAGGTGCTTGCTGTGTCCACCCCTCAGCTACAGCTACCCTGGTGCCATTCCTCTTGCCACCATGGCACGTCAACTCAACATGGATACGCTGCGGCAGAACTTCTGGAAGGAGGAATATCTGAGGGAGAAGATGTTGCGCTGTGAATGGCACCGCAAGTATAGCTCAGTGGTGAAGGTCAAGCAGAAGGCTAAGGCTTCAGCCCGCCTCCCCCTCAAACTGCCGACCCTGCACCCCAAAACCCCGCTTTTGCCCCCAGCTGCCCCCAAAGCAGTAACACCCAAGGGCCCCAGCCCTGTCCCGAAGGCCCCTGTTCAGGCAGAAATGTACCCAGTGCCGCCTGCCACCCGGGCCCTGCTGTATGAAGGCATCTCCCACGACTCCCAGGGGCGCTACCAGTACCTCAACACCCGAAAACTGGACTTGCCAGAGAAGCGCTACATCTTCCCCATCACCACCAACTTCACTTACGGCTGGCAGCTGGGTGAGCCCCTAACCCCCCGACACAGTTCACCTCACAAACATTGGCACCTGCTGCACACTGGGCAGCATTCTGGATGACGGGCACCCGAGACACGTGGGCTTTCTTCCCTAGGGGTGTCCATTCCAGCAGGGGGCCAGGCCCTAGACACCAGCGCAAAGCTTACAGAAGGACAAGTGACATGAGGACACTAAGCAGGGACTGGGAGAGGGCGCTGGGGGTGGTGCTGCTTTAGGCTGGGTTGTCGGAAAAGGCCTGGACCTTGGGCTGAGCAGTGAGTGACGGGAAGACAGAGGAAGGCTTTGACAGGTGCCTGATACGGATTTACTTGCTTTTTTTTTTTTAAATGCACCCTGATAAGCTGTAAGCAATGGCCTTTCTAGGGTAGAGAATAGACTGGCAGATGAGTTATAAACATCCTATTTTTGAGTTATCCTGGCAAGAGATGACAATAGCTTAGATGCAGGTGATTGATATGTGGAAGAGCTAAAACAGATTCAGGATATGTTTTGGAGAAAGAGTCAGTGGAACCTACTGAAACATTGAGTGAGAGGAGGCAGAGGTGACAGAAGATGGGAGGAGCAGATCACGGGGTGTGCACAGACAGGTCTATGCTGGAGGCCTCAGTGAGGCTGCTGTGGAGGGAAGTTGCCCTCTGGAGCCAGGTCAGATTTGGGGGTCATCAGAAGATAGGTATAGTAAAGAGATTGGGGAGCTCACCCAGGGACCTGCAGTGCTGAATCTGACTGGAGGAGAGGCAGGGAGCACAGAGATGAATGGAAGGCTGTTCATCTGGATTGAGTTGCTTCTTTCTGTGAGGCTCAGTCAAGATTATCTGCTAGGAGGGAGAGAAGTGGAGGCAGCGATGAAGTTTGAGGTAAAAAGTCAAGATGTGGGAAAGTAATATACCAGAGGTGTTGTGGGGTCCTGGTGATGCCCAGTGTCCCTTGCTGTGTGTGCACATCAATTCCAAGTAAGATTGCTCAGCCATGTCTTTCTCCACAGGCTGGAGTGCCTGTGCAGAAAAGGCACGTGGTTGGGGATAAACACACTAAAGTTTTGCCTAAAAACTTCCCTCACCTTCCCGGGAACTCTTGAAAGGGAATGAAGGGAGGAATTTCCCAAGAGCAGGAGGTAACGGTAGTGCCATCTCCCAGTGCGGCCTTGCTCAGTCTGTCCTACACAGGCAGGCCCGAGTGTCCAGGTGCCCCCTCCGTGGAGCATCCTGAGGCTGGGATGACACTGGCACAGAACTGACAGCGTTCTGCCATTCCTAACTATCGGGGCACCCAGCCAGCTCCCTGGTTCCCACAGCCCCCACTCCTCAGAAGCGTGCCTCTTTATTTCTTCACACTTACAAAGTGGCTACAACACAGGCAGGTTCCTAGGGCCGGGACCTCGTGCACCGCAGTTCCTTCACCAGGGTCCACTCTGGTCTCTTCTCAGGGCCCCCCATGAAGCAAGAATTGGTCTCCTGCAAGATGTGCCGCATTGACTCATTCTTCCGCAAGAACGGGGCCTTCGACTTTCTTGACCCCCAGGACCTGGCTCTCTGACCAGGGCCCAGCAGTGGGCTCCGGGGAAAGGAAAAGAAATGACAGGCCTCCTGGTGGGGTGAAGCTGTGGTGTGTGTCTCAGGTCTTGGTCCTCCCTGGCGGGGAGACAGCGATGGGGGACCTCTCTGAAACCTCCTCTGCCTCGCACTTGCTCCCCCTGCAGGTGGCCGCCTTTTCCTTGAACCCTCCTCTCTTTCTGGGGCCACCTGAGGATTCTGCATGGGCTGGAGGGGCTGTGTGAGGCGCCGGCTACTCTCCAGGTGCAGGCGGGTGCAGTGGCTCCAGCCTCAGTAGCTGCTGGAAGTTCTGGGTATTCCTGGGGAGATAGTGGCCTGTCACCCCAACTGCCAGGGAAAGGGGACCACCACCACCACCCAGAGAGCCACCTGGGCCTGCCCCTCACCTGGCCCCCAGGGCCCGCAGCTGCCGGGTCCTCTCCTGGTGTGTGTGCTGCAGCTGTTCCCGCAGGGCGCGCCGCTGCCCGGCAGTGTCCTCCTGGGGCGGGATGGAGTGAGCGCCCTGGCCTCCCCTCCTTGGGGCTCGGATGGAAGCAGCAGAGCCGCAGCGGGCAGAGGACCCTCCCACTTTGGGCGGGCGTCCTAGCCCATGCGGCACGGGTGCAGCACTTCAAAGGGACTCAGGTGGACGCCGGGTCGCCCCCTCCCAGCTGGACTGTGCCACCCCCCTCCCCACCCCGACTCTCCCCGGGGTCTTGCCTGTGGCGGGAGCTGAACCGGGCTGGACGGGGGCTCCAGGGGATGAACCCGGCAGTGGCGGTTCCTGGCGATGTGCAGCCGTTCAAGGACCTGGAGGGGGTGACCGTCAGCGGCCGCGGGTCGCCCCCCGCCGCCCCGCCCGGCTCTGCCGGCGCTCACCCGGAGCCGCTGCTGCTCGCGGGCCTGCCGCCGCCGGCTCCTGGCCGCGCCATGCAGCTCCAGCAGCCGCTGCAGCGCCGACTCCTGCTGCGCCGCGCTCACGCCCGCCCAAGCCTTCTCCCTGCCGGAGGGCTCGAGCCAAGCGGCCTTAGTGGCCTTGGGGGCCTCGGCGGCGCCCCTTGCCTCCCCCGGGGCGCCGCGGAGCCAGGCCGAGCCGCCCTCCCGCCGTCCGCTCCCCTCGCCCGCCGCCTGCTCCGCATCGCGCGCGGGCGCCGGGGACCGCGGGAGACGTGCGGGGCGCGGCTGCGGGCCGGAGCTCATCGCACTTGGGGGTGCTGGGCCTGGGGGCAGCAGCCCGGCTGGGGGCGCACGGGCAGCCTGCGCCCGGCCCAGGGCCGGCCGCTGCTCTCTTTCCTCCGCCGCTGACTGAGGGCTCTGGCCCTGCCCCCGCTGGGTGGTCCTTCCTTCGGGGCTTGGGCTCTCCCTTCCCCCAGGTTGCGGCTTCTGCTCTGGGGGCCTGCAGGAGTCCCCTGGAAGTCTCAGGGGGTCGCTTTCCTCCCCTGGCTGTGCAGGCGCCACCTCCCAGGTGCGTGAGGTATCACCTCCAGCTGACTGAAGGAGCTCTCCCTCCGCACCCTGAGTAGTCTCCCTGGTCTGCACCAGGAGGGCCGCCTTTGGGGGGCTCTTAGGGCGATTCCCAGTTTGACTTGGAGAAGCATTTTTGTCCTCCTCCTGGTGGGCCTCCCACCTCTGACCCTGGTGTGTCCTCTCTCTTAGACTCTGGGAGACTGCACTGATCTGCTCCCCGGGGTCTTCCATTCTCTGACCCTGAGGGATGTCATTCTCAGTTTCCAGAAGTTTCTCTTCTCTTTGAGGAATCTCAATCCCCAGCAGTTTCTGAAGTTCTGCTCTGTCCTGGTTCAGACTCCAGCCCAGCACCTGTCGTCCATCTTGGGGTCCCGGCAGTTCCTGGGAGGACAGGTCTGAGGGCCCTGGGGTTCCACGAGCAAACTGTCCGCCCTGTAGGCTCCTGGGGGGTGGTGGACTGGGCCTCTGGGTCTCCGGCTCTGCTTGACCCTTCTCTTGCTGCTTGGTGAAGTCCTGGGAAGGATGACCACTTGCCCCCAGGCATGTGAGGAAATGCCCAGGACCAGGACCTGTTCCCTGGGGGGAGCCTGGAGACCCTGGTGGCTACCTCAGGAGGTCTCGCTTAGCCCTTGCCTAATTTCCTGAGTTGTTTAAACCCATTTTTTGCAGCATAAACAGTGCTCCTATGGTGGTTCTCCTCTCCCACCTGGCTCCCTGAGCCACCCTCGAAGCCACTTTCCAGGCAGACCCCACCCCTGAGACCCCCAATCTGAGGCCTTGCCTAGGACCCTTAGACCCTTTTACCTTGAACTCTGAGCCTCCTGGTTCCCCAGAGCTGCTGCTGCTGCCGCTGCTGGAGTTCAGCTCTTGGGAACCTGCGGTGGAAAGCCCAATGTGGGGCACCCCTGCTCACATCCTAGCCCTTCACACACATCTTACTCCCACCAGAACCAGGAAGTCTAGGGGGTCCCCACTGCATGGGGGGTGATGGAGGGGGAGATGAGGTTTTCTGAGGGCTGGTATTTGAACTTGGAGGTAGTTCATCCTCCACCTTTATTGGCAGAGTCTGCATGCACCAGCTTGGCACCGGCTGAGCCTACCCTCCTCCTCCTCCAGGCCAAGGGGACCCCCTCAGAGGAACAGCACCCTCTTTCACAAAACCACCAGAGGCTGCCCAAGTGCAGGGAGGGCCTGTTTGCTTCAGTTCCTCATAGGAACTCCCCTACTTCAGGCTGCTGCACCCCAGGACCATAAAGAAACCCACCATAGGCACCTACCTCACCCCCTGCCCTTTAGCTGTTCTTTGTTTCTGACAGCAAAATCACATGTAATTCAAGAAATAAAATTCTAGGCCAGAGCCTGACCTAAAATCTGCAAGTCTTCATAATTAACAAAAGGAATCTAAAAAAAGAGATCCGCTGCTCCTTCACAACTGTGGAGGGAGAGTTGTTCTGCATCCATAAAACCCGTTAAAAGAACTTGATTTCATAAGATCTTAGACTGAAAACTTTCACAAAAATATTCCATCATCAGGCAGCACGGATCTGTGAATATTCATAACAGTAAACAACTGGGTATGTTCTGTGAAAATAAATCTGTCTTTTGAAGAGTTTCTGAACAAAGGTATGTGATGACTCCCAGGCCTGTAGAAATTATTGCCATGAATTGAAAGTGACCACCAGTCCTCCATAATTCTGATTTTTTACCACCCAATCATTTATTCCTCTGGTAATAATGTCACTGATATCTCTGTATTCCCAAGTGAGAAACTGCTTGTAAAAAATTTCTGTCAGAAAATTATCACTGGCATTTGCCTCTTCTCTCACACACCTGATGGGAGAATGAAAGGCTTATGGTTCTGCTCAGCACTTTATTTGACAAATAATTCGAGTCTGTTTCATTGATATTGATAGGCTTGGAACTCACAGCCTCCAGCTCACTGAACTTGAATGGCCTGTCACTCTCACCAGGCTGTCATCAGCGACAGCCAGGCCCAGGTGCTGAGGCAAGTCTCTGTGCTGTGCTGTGCATCCCCAATGCCCGGTGTAAGGTGGCACATAGGCACCAGGGAGCTGTGACTCCACCCCCTCCTCCCTGGGCAGCCAGGGACAGTCATTTCTGGCACTCTCTCCCTGAGCCCTGGCTTGACTTCAGAATCCTCCAGAACGCTGTGCCTGACAGGAGGAATTGGTACCTAAAATAAAACCTATTTGTCATCCTGGGTGCCCCTGGCACTCAATAAAAAGGTGTGAGCTGTGGGGAGAGTGGGAGATGGTTAGAATCTTGGTACTTGGGAGCAGGTCTTCTCTGCCTGCTTGCAACCTAGTCTGGGAAACCCAGTCCAGGGGCTCTGTCGCCTGCCCCCTCCTGTCAACTTACCAGGTGTGGACTCTGCCCGCCTGCCGGGACCCGCCTGCCACCTTGGGGCTTCAGCTCTCCGGGCTTCAGGGAGACCCAGGGCTGGTGAGGTACTCACTGCCTGCCCCCTGCAGAGGTGCAAAGATGCCTCAAGGGTAGCCTGTGGGCTCTGGAAGTGGAGGTAGCCAGCCTGCTAGTCTCCAACACCCCAGCAGGCTACGGGCCTTCCCCCCCCAACACCCACCACTATAGCCCAGGAGCTGGAACTCAGGGTACCCTTTCCAGGGGCTGTGGGGCATTGTGGAAGCAATTGAATGAGAAACCCAGGAGAAGTAGGAGGCGTGAAGAGGGCTTGCTGGGCAGGGGGCTGTAGAAGGAGACAGGGAAAAGGGCAGTGACTGGTCCTTTTGTGTGGCACCACAGAGTTTCCTGGGCAACGGACTCACCCTTCTGGGAGCAGATGACTCTGGCTCAGGGTGTCCCGGGCTTGGGGTGATGGGCACAGCCTGGAATCCTGGAAGGGTTGAGTCATCTCTACACAATAGGGCATCATCCCCCAGGGTGGCGGGCATCCTCCAAGACTCCAGCTATGCTTCCTTCCCTCTGGTAACCCTGCCCTGGGAGGCCTCGGCCCCACCCCCTTCACATGAAGAAACCTGGAAAGGGAACCCTCCTGCCAGACAAGACTGCCGCTGGCTGACAGTGCTGCCGGCACATGGCACACTTCCTCCGTGCCCCCACTGAGACAACCTCCTGCTACTGAGAGGACGCCTCTGCCAGACGGGGCTGCCAACCTGCCCGAGAGCCTCAGGACGTGGGTGACAGCCGGGGACTGGGAGCCATGTCCCGGAGGGAGGGGCCCAGGACAGGCACTGCTCCTGGCCTCTGTCTCAGGGCCGCCACCCCACAGGACACTGCCAATCCTGCTCTCCTCTCTGCCACAGCCTGTGGAAAGGCTTCCAGAGATCCTCACGCAATCGATTTGACTAGGTTGGCCCAGCAGCTGTGGGAAGGTGCCCACAGCCTGCAGAGAGCAAGCCGGCTGTGTGCCTCAGGCACGGGACTGCACCAGGGACAGATGAGGCCGCCGGCCCTCCCAGCGGCCCTCCCAGCAAGACCTACCACCCTGCCCACTTCGTAGCTGAGGAAACAGGTGTGAGCCTGCACCTGCCCCCAGAGCGGCCAATCCATCCACTCCCTTCCGTCACACTCGCCCCACGCTCAGCCAAGTCGCTGCTCACCCCACTCTTCGGCTGTTCAGAAGTCCCCCCTTGTCGACTCCCTGGCTGGCGGGACTGGCTCCATGCAACCTGGGCCTGGTCCCTCAGACCGCAGAACTGGACCCGGGGGGGCCAGAAGAGGCCCAGCCCTGCCCCGCACAGCAGCTCCAAGTCCCACAGGAGCTGCAGAAAGATGGCGTGCCAGGGCATGAGGGGGTTCCCTGTGCCCTCTGCCAAACCCGCAGGCAGCACCTACCTGCTCCTGGGCCCGTCGGTTCCTCTCCATCTCCAGCAGTACAGCAGGCAGCTCCAGGCCTGAGGGAGGGTGCCAGCCCTCTCGCCCTTGGGGGAGCCAGGTGGCGTCAGGCCCCCGCCTGCCCCCTGGCAGACAGTGCCCTTCCCCCCTCACCTGCCGCAGTGCAGCCTGCAGCTGGCCAGGGCCTGCGGGGCACCGGAAGAGGTGCTGGTACAGAGCCAAGGCCTGCTGGGGGCGACAAGGGAGCCCTAGGCCCCCAGGTGTGGCCACCGGCTCCATGCGGATGAGGCAGCAGATGTCCAGCCGGGAGCCCGGAGCGAAGGCCAGGCGCGGAGGACAAAGCCACCTGAGCTCAACAACACAGGCCCTGACACCTGAGCCCGGCGGGAGCCCAGCCAAGTCTCACGGCAGCCCTGGTCTGACTCTGACGGGGGTATCTTGGCTTGGGGGTGGCCGCGTGGGGTGAGGCACGTGACCCTGCTAGAGAGACGGGGTGTGCGTGGGGCTGTTTGTCATCCAGGACAGACCCCAGTTTCTATACACCGACTTGCAACGCATCCTGGGCTGTTGCATGCCCAAGAAGGCAGCAGCTGATGGGGTGCCAGGACAGATGCTGTGCAGATGCGGGCCCCTGGCAGCAGGTGCTGTCATCACTGCCCCGTCTTACAGAGGACAAGTGACCCATCTGACAGGTGACGCCTCCCTCAGCTGGAGACAGCAGGCCGCGGCAGGCACGGCTGCGAAGACTCGGTCCAGGGCTCCAGCCCCCACAGGCAACTCTCTTGCCTCACTCCCTGCTGAAATATTAGGCACCCAGCAAGGAGAAGAGAGCCCCCAATCTTTGAACCAAAGCCACCTAGCTGGTGACACAGCAAAGAGTACTCGAAATAGAATGCTCTGAAATTCTCGTCAAAGACATTTTTTCTACTTCAAAGCCCAAGCTCTTCCTCTATGAGGACATCTTCGAGACGTGCATGTATGTTCCATGGGGTGGGGACACACACAGCCCACATGCATGTGTGCCCGTGCACGGGACCCTACGGGGGTGCTGCATGCTTACTGGACTTCTATGGGGGCGCATGCACACACGTGAGCATTAGCCCATCACGTCTATCGCTTCCCTGGCTCCCCACTCAAGCAAGGGGTTTCTGGTCAGCAACCCTTAGACTGGCTCCAGAGGCACCCTGGCACTCAGTGTCCCCCAAATAGTGAGGAAAGGAGACGCCACGAGAGGATGGAGCCCCTTCCAGCCACGCTGGACAGCACATGGATCCCCAGAAGCCCCCACGTGGCGGCCACGGCCGTGCCTGCCACACACGGCGAGCACGGAGCTGTGGCCAGGACGTCTGGGTGCTCCTTTGGCACTGCGAGGTTCCCCAGGCCCCCACATTGGGGGGGCCTAGCAAGTGGGGGCATCCCTGGGTGCAGACACAGGAGGGAGTGAGGCCCAGGGGGCCGCCAGAGCTGTCACTGATCCCACTCCAGAGACACTGAGCACTGGCCCCCATGTTCTAAGTGGCCCACGGCGCCACCCAGCACCAGAAGGAAACACACACAAGGAAGCCTGAGGGCACATCCTCATTTTACTGGTCCTGACTGGACAGCCCGAGTCTTCCTGGACGGGGCCCCGGCTTCCAGCACCAGGCTGGCCCTCTCAGCAGCTCTGCCCGGTGGGGGCGGCTCTCCATGGGGAGACCTCTGGCCTGGTGAGTCCTGCCGTCATCTTGGCTCAGGGGCCCCCTGAGGCTCTTGGCTGGGGCTGGGCAGGGCGCTGGCTGGCTGGTCTCCCGTGAGCAGGACCGGAGGGCAGGCCTCAGGCGAGATGCAGTGGGCCTCGTGCTCCACCAGGCCTGCAGGGCACTGGCAGCCAGGAACGCAGGGCCTCACGCAGTGTGCCGCCAGCTCCCCCAGGGGGATGTGCCGGTTGAAGCAGGTGCGGGGACAGGGTGGGCCGCACTCATCGAACACGAAGCCACGGTCCAGGGGGCAGCCCACCACTACAGGCGGAGAGGAAGGCGGGGTCACCGGGCACGGCTCCAGTCGCCGTGCACCCCCATCGTGGGAGCCTCCCTGTCCGCACCTCACCCGCTGGGCTGCCCTTCCTCGCTGCCACCGCCACCCACAACCTGCACAGCATGTTGCCCTCTCACCGCAGAGTGTGGGTCCCCTCCAGGCAGGTGTCACTCCTGCCTGGCGGCAGTGGCTGGCATAGGCTTCCAGGGCATCACAGAGGCAGGCGTCAGCGGAGGGGCCGGGGCCACAAGCACACAGGTCGTACACGCAGGCGGCAAAGAAGGGCTCCGGTGGCACCAGGGCGTGGCAGCGACTGAACGGGGAGGACTTCAGCACCCCACACCGGGCATTGGCCTCGCGCCTGGCTCGGTAGCCTGCTGTCCGGCACGGATCCACCTCTCTGCCCTTGGAGCAGGACTGACCACGTCCTGGCTCCTCTGGGACCTAGGAGGGGAGAGCAGACCCGGTGTGGCAGCAGCCAGGGAGGCTGACCTTTGTGTGCTGTGTTCCTTGAAGCACTTCGCACCAATTATTTTGTTTTAGGTTCAGAAACCTCCCTACAAGAACAGCCAAGGAAGCACCAGCTACTTTTTTCTTTGTCCCCATTTTACAGATGGACAAACCAAGGCCCAGAGCAGGCACTTGTTCAAGGTCACACAGAGAACAGCAAAACAGACTTGGGGCTGGATCCACACAACGAGGCGTGCCCCCCCCACCCCAGCACACGCCAGGCAAGGAGCCCCAAACCACCATGGGAGCCAATGCCCTTCTGTATCTGTCCCGCCTCCCCCACCACCTTCATGCCAGGGGCTACGCTCAGACTCGACTCATGGCCAATTCTGCCTCCCCCACACTGCCTGTGCCACTCACCTGCCAGCTATTCCCAAATGCAGCCTCAGTGGGCAGGAGCAGCCCCTTGGGGCTCTGCAGATCGTCCTGGGCAAAGCCGTTGAAGTTCCCACAGAGCCCACAAGTCTGGCCCCGGTAGGAGCTGGGAACTCTCACCTCCACCTGGGACTGCCCATCCCACAGCACCTGTGCAGAGAGGCTGGGACTTGGAAGTTGGGAAAGGTAGGGTCCGGGAGAAGCCCATTGGCCATCTGGCTCCACGCCCTGTGTCAGCACGCCCCCTGCTGTAGGGGAGGAGAACGGCAGGTGGCTGCTTCACCAGAAGGCTGCCTCTGGGCTACAGCGAGTAGGGGGCACGTGCCCACCCCCCACCCCCCAACAAGCGGAGAAGAGGGAAAGCTGCCCGCGGCTCCCGCAGGAGGCCTTCTCCCAATGGCATCCCTGAAAATGCAGCCCTCTTCCAGAGAGTCACAGCGTGGTCATTCGAGACTCACAAGGACAAAACACCATGCCAGTCTGGGTCATTAGAGCTGATTCGCCTACTTTTATGAATTAAAATTTGCCTTCTTGCTGGAGGAAGAGAGTGAAACATTATCCTTCGGTGACAGAGTTGGAAGGAATCTCAAAAACATCCTGCAGAATTTCTAAAGCTTCCCCCATTTTACAGAAGAGAAAACTGAGAGGCCCAGGACCGAGCCACACAATGGAGTGTTGGAGGCTGAACCAAGATTAGAATGAAGGCTCAGAACTCCAATCGCAGGACCTGGTAGGTTTTTCCACTCCCAATCCAGAGAACTCTCACCCCACCGTGGCCTTTGGCCCAAAGGTGCAGGTGCGTCTGCTCCTTCTACGGACAGAAACTGAAAAGGCTGGCGGCTCCCCGGCCCACGTCCCCACACCCCGCACCTGGAGCCCAGGCTGGGCATGCAGCATCACTGTGCGTCCCCGCAGCTCCACGTACAGCAGCGGCTCCTGCAGGTAGGGCAAGGCCACCCGGTGCGCATCCACCTGGAGAAGGGAGGCGGAGAAGCGCCAATGTCTGGGAGGATAGTGGACAGCGTGACACTGTGTTCCCTGGGTCCTCGGCCCTGCTCACCGTGACCGCTCCGCCTTGTAGCAGCCGCACGACCACGTGTCCCAGCAGCACGGCCACCTCCTGAGTCCAGGCCACGCCGCGGCGGCCCCGGTCATCATTGGTCACGTGCACGCTGTGTAGTGAGAGGCCAGAGTGCCGCGGTCAGCAGGGACGGTAAGGTGGGGGGGTTGTTGAGAGAGAAGGCAGAGGGGCTGGCGCACCTGAAGTCCCCTCCGCTGCAGTCCTTGGCCAGCACGTAGCTGCAGCTGCCCTGGAAGTGCAGCAGGCGGCCGTCGAAGGTGCGGTAATGGGGGTCTCCGAAGGCCATGCAGGAAGCGGGCCCGGGCAGGCAGCGGGCACAGCAGCTGCCGGGACTCAGGGCGGGGGCCTCGTCCTGGCCTCGCCCCCAGACACCATCAGACTCACCGCTTGCCCAGCCGTGCCCCGCACCCCGCCTCCCGGAGGATCGATTGTCACCCTAAGAGGGTCTCCCGGGTGTTCCCACTGGCGCTCCCCGCTCCCCGCAAGCGGGCTCAGGGCACCCCCTCGTGGCCGCGGCGGGAACTGCTCCGTCTCATGCCTAAACCCAGCCTTGAAGCCCGCAGCCAGCACCCACTCACCCCACCATACCACCGCCCTGGGCCGCGCACTCACGGGGCCACAGGCGAGCGGCGGGCAGCGTTGGCTCTGGCAGCGCACGGTGCCGGCCACGCAAGAGCAGTTGGTGCAGGCGTCCACCGCCCAGTGCTCCCCGGAGGCCACCTCCCGGCCCTGGTGCCGGCACAGCAGCGTTGGGGCTGACGGGACGCGAGGGAGAGGGTCCCCTGAGTGCCCTCAGAGGGCTCTCCCTCTCCTCCTGCCCCCCATCGTCCTGGCTGGCACCTTGGCATCGCTCACAACAGCTGTCAGCCTCCCGCACCTTCACCCAGCCATGGGGGCAGGACAGGGCCTGGCACGTCTGCCGGTGGCACTCCACACGGCCCGCCTGAGGGCAGACCATTTTGCTAAGGACTCCCCGCAGGACATGGGCCCTCTGGCCTCCTATTTTTGGGGGTCTTCGGGCTCAGGGTCTGAGGCAGTGGCTCCTGCCTCCCAAGAACATCCCTCTTCATGTTCAAGTCAGGGGTGAGGTCCAGGGTTCAGGTCCCTGTCCCCACTCACCCACAGGGGGCATCATCCCCTGAAGACCTCCAGGACCCCTATCGCCCTAAGGGCTCCCACCCCAGCTCACTCGGCAGGTGCAGGCAATGCAGGGGTGGCTGGGCTCCCGCCAGCTCTCTCCATCCGCAGCTCTCCGGCCCAGGGCCTCCACCACACATTCGGAGGAGGCTGAAACCAAGGTGGGGGGCACAGTCCTTCCAGGGGCAGCCTCCTCTCGGGAGGTCACCCTGTGGCCCCCAGCACGGGCTGCCCAGCCATACTTTTAGCACCCTGATGGTGCTGATTTTTAGTCCACCAGGATTGGGGGGCTAGGAGACAGCAGGGCCTGCACAGGTGCTCAGGAAGTCTAAAGGAGCCTGGAGGCCCGAAGAGCCAGAGGCAAGGGCCCCCCACCTCCACGTCACGGGTGTCTTCTCCAGCTCCATTTCCGCCAAAGAAGGAAGCCTGCATTCTGGGTGTAGACCCCAAAGCTGCCCACTTGGCCCGTGGCTGCCATTCTGCCTGGGCTCACACGCAGAGTGCAGACCCAGGCTGGGTACCTACCCCGACACACGGGGCAGCAGCTTCCAGGGGGGGTCTGGCGCTCCGAGGGGGGACAGCTGAGCTGGGGGCAGGTCTGGCGAATGCAGAGCCACGTGAGGTCCTGAGGAAGGCACAGTGTGAGCACCAGTGGGGAAGGGCAGGAGGAGGCCCGCGCAATGGGCCCTGGGCCAGATGTGACTTTCAGGGCAAGTGGGCAGATCGGGAGCGATGGGGAGCTGGCGCTGCCACGGGAGAGGCGCCCCAGCCGTAGCCCTAGCAGGGAGGAAGAAGGGGGGCTTTGGGGCCCCAGGGCAGGAGGCTCACCCGACACTGGCAGGTGTAGCAAGGGTCTGCCGGGGCCAGCTGAGACCCCGCCAGGCTCTCTGTGCAGTTACTCAGCGCCTCTGTGAAGACAAGAGTGTGGGGGGTGGAGGGAAGCAGGTGAGCAGCCCAGTGGGCCCCACTTACGCACTGGGTCCCCAGATTTCTTGGGCCCGGGGCAAACTCCTATCTCTAGCACCTAGATACCAGAAAAGCTAATTCTTCTTTCCCTTTGGTTCAGCCAAGTTTGAATTTTTTAAAAAGAGCTTTGCTAGGCCTCTGGGGTCCTGGAAACTGATAACAGGTGGCTTCCTCAGCTGAGGTCGATAAAGACTGCCAGGCCGCAGGGCTGCTCCCCTCCCCTGGTTCCTTTCATGTTGTCTGGATGAAAAGAGCACAGGAAGCATAAAGAGCCAAGTACCCCAGGTTCGATCCTTGCTCCAGTACTCAGTGCCTGTGCCATTCTGGGCAAATTAACTCTCTGAATCTCAGTTTCTTTATCTGTTAAAAAGAAATGATAATACCAAGCACAGTGGGTGGCATAGGGTAGGGGCTTAATAAATGTTAGTTCTGGTCTCCTTCCCTGAGCAAGGGGTGAGCTGACTCCCCACCCCTATAGCTTGCCAAGTCAAAGCCCTCAGCAAACAGCAGCAGGCATAACGCCACCAGGGTGCTGGCCAGGGTGTTCCACAAACTGCACCCTTCCAGCATCAGGGGTCCCCACTGCCAGCTTCCCCAGGCCCCACTGCCTTGACATGGGCTTCCAGAAAAGTCCACAGGAGCCGGGAAAGGTCTGGAGCTGGGACTGGGGAGACCTGGCTCTTCCAGGTTTGCTCTGGGGCGTGGCAGCCCTACCCTCTTCTCTGCCCCCAGGTCCCCACACTCACGGGCACAGGTGGGGCAGCAATGCTGGGGCCCTGGGGGCAGGAGACGGCTGGTGGGGCAGCCCACCAGGCTGGGACACTGCCTTCGGTGACAGCGAAGGCTGGGAGGCCCCTCGGGCTGTTGCTACAAGAATGAGTGGGCAGGGGCTGGTTCCAGGTCTCGGAAGCTGAGAGCCGCCCCTGCCCTGGACGCCGTCTCCTGCTGCGCGACTCCTCCCGGACATGACTCAGTCTGCACTGCAACCCCTGGTCTTCCCAGACTTGCTCCCAGCCCAGACTGCCCTGAGCCCAGCAGACGAGTGCTTTCTCTTTCTAGTCACTTGGACCTGAATCCTTATGTGGCCTTGACCTTCCTTCCCAGCCCCACTGCCTCGTCTCCTGACAGCTGCTTCAGTGTGAGTTGGGTCCCCGCCCCGGAGGTGACCCACATGGGGCAGCAGACCTCTCCTGACCCGCCCGCTGCTCCCCCTGTCGATCTGCCTGTTCTGCTCCCCGCTCTGTCTCTGGTGAATCCCCTCACCGCCCCTGCGCCTCTGGCCTGTACCCCAGCTCTGTATGCATAAATAAATCTTTAAAAGGAAAAAAAATAAATAACCCTCCCTAGCTCCCCACTTCCTCTGAATAGAAGCTGCTGCCGTGGCCAGTACCTTCCCTGCCACCCCTGCACGCCCACCTGCATTCGCCTGCACTCAGCCGGGAGGCTCGCCCACTCCCGAGCACATGGAACCGGTGCCCCAGATTTGCTGGCCTTACTTCGCCCCCAGTCTCCAACCCCGAGCCCTCCCAGCAAGCCCGCCCCTCAGCATCACCCCCACCTACCTCACAGACGCACACCTCGCAGGGGTCCGGCCCAGGCTGGAAGCTCTCCCCGGGCGCATACGTCCGCCCTGCGTGCTCACAATCTGGTGTGGTAAGAGCAGCACATCAGGGCCAGAGCGCTCAGGCTGGCAGCAATGCCAGGGGCTGGTGCCCTCCAACCCCCGGGCTGGGGGCCACTTCCGAATGGCCCGTCTCTGCCACCCAGCCCCACATGACAGGGACCTGCCAGTACCTCCTCCCTGCACCCTCGCCCCCAGGGCCCAGTACCAGAGCAGCGAGGACAGCAGTCCCCGGGCCCCTGCCGGGGCTGGGCGCAGGAGCTGACGCACTGGATGTGGGCGCAGGTGACCACGCCCTCGTGACACACGCAGGAGGAGCAGGGGCTGTCGGGGGGTGCCCAGCTGCTGCCTTCGGGGTGCTCCTCCCCATGAGCCAGGCAACCTGTGGGCAGGGGCTCTGAGCCTGAGGTCGCCTGTGTGCCCCGAGCACCCCTCCTCGGTGGTCAGCGGGAGCCTGGGTGGGGGGTCTGCAGGGCTCTGTGGGAAGGCGGCTGGGGGCAGACTCCTGTCTGCGGTGGAGAGACCTCGGTGGGGTCCCAACACCTGAGCGCTCGTCTTGTCCCACATCTGCTTGCTTCTCAGACCAAGCGCTGGGCACAGGCGTGATAAATGCACAGGCTGAGGGGCGCATCACTGACCGCCCCCCGCAGTACTCAGTCTCCTCAAGCCCCTGTTCGGCTCTGTTCATGGGGATTTAGCTGTCCTGCCATCTCCCAGGGCAGGTGAGATGCTGTCTCCTGTGGAAACTCCACCACGTTGGCCAGCACTTGGGCAAGGGTAAGAGGGCTTCTGTTCTAGAACAGACCGTCCGGAGGCCAATCTAGCTCCGCCACCCGCTAGCTGCGTGACCACAGGGAGCCCCATTCATTATCTCTCTACCTCTTAGGCCGCTCCCCTTTGGAATGGGAACAGTAACCACAGCGAGCTATGAGCTAAGAGCCTGTCGGGGATTAGGTGAGATGCAGGAAGGTGCCTGCCTCAGTGACGCACCCAAGGGTGCTTTAGAAAGGAGGCAGCTTTGGGGGATGTGTCCGGTCAGGCTGCCAGCAGGGAGAGGTAGGGCCCCAGGTGAGGGGTGGTCAGGTGAAGGGCAGGAGGAGGGAAACCAGAGGAGGCTGAGGGAGGGAGGGAGGAAGGTGGTGTGGGAGCACGGGCAGCCCCAGGGCACCCCCAGGGCACCCAGCACACCTCTACAGCGAGGGCAGCAGCTCCCCGGCTCTGTGACCTGGAGCATGCAGGGCAGGGGTGGGCACCGGAGCCGCTCGCAGCTGACCTGGCCGGCCTGCGGGCGCTGGGGGTCAGTGACTTGCACCCCAGAGGCACTGGGCCCCAACCCCTGCCCCAGGCCCGGGCCAGCCCCTACGGTACCTGGCAGCGACACCACTCACAGCTGCCTGGGGGCCCCTCAAACTCCTCCCCGTCCTGATGCTCCCGACCCTGGGAGCGGCAGCCTGTGGGCGACATGCTTCCTGGCGGCGGCCATCTTGCCCAGCCTCCAGCTTGGCAGAAAGGAGGGGGGAGGGGCAGGGTGGACATGGGCGTGGGAGGGGCAGCTCACTGTGACAAACGGGGCAAAAGCAGGGTCCTGGAGAGGGGTGGGGACAGAGAGCCGGAGGACATGGCTTCTTCTGGCAGCTCACGGAGCCTTCCTGGGGGAGACAGGTCACGCTGCCACCTCCTTTCTCCCCCCCTTGCAGTTCTCCCCATGGGTGTCCCTACTGGGTCTGCCAGGCACGAACCCCTCCTCTATTGACCCAGGGACCCGAAACCAAACCCTCCCACTGGGCAGAGGGGAGGATCAGGAATAAAGGGTTGCCACATTCCCCAAAGGTAGCCTCACCTGGCAGGTGCAGAGGGAGCACGTGGGGTCCAGGGGATCGGCGAGGGTCTCTCCAGAGGCAGCAGTAACCCCATGATAGAGGCATCCTGTCCGAAAGGGGAATGCAAAAGGCAGTGGAAGAGGCCCCACCCTCAGGACCATCCACTGCCACCCACCTACCCACACCCCACGTGCATGCACCCACATACACACATACGCACCCCACTCTGCACACCCCACCCTCAGGACCGTCCACTTCCACCCACCCACCCACACCCCACGTGCATGCACCCACATACACACATATGCACCCCACTCTGCACACCCCACATGCATTCACCCATGTGCACCCCACACCGCACCCCCACATGCATGGACCCATGTGCACCCACGCACATGCTTTCACAGAATATGCACGCACACACATACATGCGCACACACCCGGGGAGCACACACACAGGGCTGGCGTGGGCCCTCCACCAGGGCCTGGGAATCAGAGAGAGCAGCATTGCCTGGAGTGGCTGAGAAGGCTTCAGCCAGGCTGCAAGCGGGGAGGAAGCGGTGGAGGGCTGGAGGAGGCGTGAAGACTACGGACAACTTCCTGTCTGGGTGGGCAGTGTGGGGAGCAGAGGTGAGGGGCTGGCTACAGCTGGGAACGGCCAGAGGGAAGGGGGCTGTGCTCACAGAGACTCACAGGAGCCCTGGAAGGCTTTGCGCCTCCTGCCGTGACATTTTAGGAGGCAGAGGCACCATGTAAGAACAGCCTGGAAACTGCTTATTTGGGGGAGTCGTGTGTGAGCTGACAGGACAGAGAGAGGGGCCTGCGTACCCTGGAGGGGTCTGGGGGGTGCACAGGGTGGGGTGTGGGCATCTCAGGGGAGGGTCAGTGGCGAGAGCAGGTGACCGGCTGCTGGGGGCTCCAGAGTGGCAGTGCCTGGGCAGGGCTGACCTACCCTGGCAGGCTGGGCAGCAGTGCCCAGGTGGGGTGAGCGGGTGGCTGCAGCCCACAGGCTCACAGGGCCGCCAGCTGCAGGTCACGAAGCCTCCCAGGCAGGTGCACAGCTTGCAGGGCTCTCGGGGGTCCGGGAACTCCTGGCTGCTCAGGTAGAGTTCCCCCAGGTACTCACAGCCTTCCAGAGAGGACAAGAGAGGCAGGCAGGGGTGAGGGTAGAGGTCATATCTCTGACCTTGAGCCTGTGGAAGTCCAAGGCCTGGTAACTGGGGGGAGGAGGGCCCAGGTCTGACTGGTGGACTCAGGAGTGTGGGCGGAGCTGGCCAAAGGGCAAATTTGCCTCAATCTACAGGAAAAGGCCCGTGATTAAAGGCCCAAGTCCATGATTAAATACTCAGCCGCCCACTGCCCCTGAGGGGAGTTGGGGAGAGTCCCCCACCCCATGGCTCAGGTGGCCCAGGTACCCTCTCGTCAATGCTCATTCAAGCTCTCTGACTAACCAAGGCAAGGAAATAGTCCCTGTGGGGCGGCAGTAACCCTGAGAGCTGACACTAGTTGACCTCCCTTTTTGAAAAAGAGAGGGTACCTGGGGTGATACTGAGGTGCCAGTGCAGACTCACCTATTGTAACAAGTGAACCCCTCAGGTTGGGGGTATTGACAGAGAGCTGATGTGTGATGAGGGTAGGAAGAGAAGAGGAAGTCTCCACCTTCCTCTCAATTTTGCTGTGAACCTAACATTGTTTTAAAAG